TATATATATATATAATATTCTCTTTTACACATTCTTTCCTTCACTCTGACCCAATACCCATCCCCCATTGCTTTGTCTACACCTTCACATCATCTGCCCAGTATACACATCAACAAGAAAAGAAATTAAAAAAAAAAAAATAAAGCAATAGAAACATAGAAAGAAAGAAAGAGAGTGTGTGTGTATCCTCACATATAGTTCTGTACAACTATGTGAGAATGAAAGCCAAGAAAAAACAAAAAGAAAAAGAAAGAAAATTATTCTTCTTCTCTTTTTTTTTTTCCTTTCATTATTATTATTATTATTATTATTATTATTATTATTATTATTATTATTATTATTATTATTATTATTATTATTATTATTATTATTATTATTGCTCCTTACTACTTCCTAATCCTTTTTCTTTTTTTCTTCTTCCATAAATATTTCACAGCATAATACGACCGAGTTGACGGCTCTCATACAATCCACTCTGCCGCATCTCAAATCCCTGCTGCTCCACCGCAAAAAGCGGACAACACAACACTCTACAGAAATCCCCAACAAGAGTCCCATTCAGTCGATAACGACAGCGAAGAAGATACCGCAGTCGACATCCATACAAGGCCGTACCCAATCCATGATAACAACAACCAAACGGACAGCCTAAAGTCACAATATCACACAAACACGTTGTCCAGAAGGTACGGGGCATATTTCCCTCACTTCCATAGAAGTCTTCACAACAAAATCGATACGGCATATGTCCCCGTTTCTCCTCTTCACGAAATAAAAGATGTGTTTGCTCGGCTATACTACAACGTACACAAAAGAAACGCCATAAAAAGTGTCCTAACGGTGAAGTGCAGTTTGCCTCAGAAGAAGAAGAAGACTGTACAGCACTCATATGAGGTGGTCCCATTCGTTCAGATCCATCACTTGTTTCCCTGCTATGGATCTCTACATAGTTATCACGAAAACAAAAACATGGATCAAAAAAGGTATGCAGCCACTTTGGACGATCAAGAATAGGAGCCGCAAGAATAAGAGGTCGAGTCTTGGCAACTAATCGTGGACGGTTATGCATATCCTCACGAGCACTCACATATGATAACTGTGGGGTTGTTAACTCTACTGATGACACACCGGCATGCCTGTTTATAGATATCGTATCTATATCTCGTCCTGGAGGGGATAATAGGGTGCCAATCATTCTTCCATCTGCAGATCCCCGTCGCTGTAATCGCTGTCGTTGTAGTTGTTGAGATTGTTGTTGAGATGGTTGTTCCTCTTCTTGTTGTTGATGTTGTTGTTGTCTGCCGGCAACAACATTTGCCGGAGCGGCAGACCGCTGTGAGGCCTGCGTTGGGCGCATCTGAATGGATAAAGAGATAAATAGAAATAGAGAGAGAAAGAGAGAAAAAGAATAGAAATGGAAACTCACGATTGAAAGATAAAGAATGATAAACAAGGCGTAGTACAGAAAAGCACGAAAAAAAAAAAAAATTAAAAGATCAAGAGATAGAGAGAGAGTTAGGGATAAAGGCAAAATCAACAATGATGGTGTCAAGCCGAATTACACACAACTGCAAAAAAAAAAAAAAGCAAAAGGAAAAAAAAAAATCCGTGAAAAGTGAACATATCTGAACTTCATTTGAATAGATGGAGCAATAGAAAAAGCAATGTTGTTATTTATTATGGGATTAATGGTGACATAAAAGCTAAAACCACAGCGCAAACAGGTGAAATAGCATTATAGAAAGATAGATAAACTTTCATAATAAGTATAAGGGTATAGTACAAGAATTATACATATTGAGTAAGAGAGAAATAAACATATGCACAGTGTAAATATGAAAACATCCTTCTTTCTCTTATTCTTACTTCTATTCTTGTCATCTCTTTCTACTCGTTTTTTTTTTTTTTATTTTATTTGTCTTCTTTTTTTTCATATTCCTGTAAAGGGATACCCAGAAAGCAAATTCACCCTATCATTTCAGGTCACCTACGTAACTCCAAAATCCTATTTCCTTTTGATACCTTTTTTTTTTTGTCCCCATTTTGTTGTTCTTGTCGATGTTGTTATCGTTTTTTTTTTTTTTTTCCTTCTTTCTCATGCTCTTAGTTTTCATTCATCTCATCCGACTTCGGTGAACTAAGAAGAGATGCCTCTGCTCTCTGTTCATTGATAATATTTGACCGTACTTCTTCAATATCAAACCCTGTTACACTTGAATAAAGTGGGTCAACCTCCATATTTTCCCCTTCACCATTGGCTGTGGATATATTAGTATTATTCTGTTCCTCTAATACCACCTCAGGCATTGTTATTGATGATGATGATGTGGTGGTGGTGGTTGTTGTAGTTGTTTTTGTTGTAATTGGTTTAGTAGAACTAGTATTATCTGAAATATTATCTTCCTTCTCCTTTTCCTTAGTAGCCATGTACTCCTCTAATGAGAGACCGTTCAGTACTGGTATTACTTCTGGTACATCTAATCCAGAACGGTTTTTCCAGGTATTATTCTCATTACAGGTATTCGCCACCTCTACAAAATGTGTAATGATAGGAGTAAAGAAAGCCGGGTGAAAGTAATGTCCCATATTATTTAATATTACCAATTTCGCCTGTGGAATGACGGAAGCGGTGCGGTATCCATGTGCTGGGGGCATCAATACATCTTCTCTTCCATGAATAACCAGTGTTGGACAAGAAAGTGAACGAAGAGCCTCATCTCGACCTGGACATCGGCGAATAGCAGCGGCTTGACGAATAAGTCCTGCAGAGTAGGAACTCCGTCGAAGGGAAATTAAATAACGATTTTTAAGATATTCATCATCTACTGGAAGAGTTCCAACTAAAAGTTTTTTCAGTGAGTTTACACGAAAGTCTAAAAGTTCTTCAATACTGCAATTTGCAGGTGGTTTTCGCAGTAACCACATCTTTACCCAAAACTGAGGATCTGGTAAGTCTGCCGCATTTGTAGTTGACATTATACTTGTGAGACTCAACACACGTTGGGGGGCTAATAACGCCACAGTCTGTGCAATCATTCCACCCATACTAATACCCATAATGTGTGCAAAGGGAATGTTAAGACTGTCCAATAATGAGAGGGCATCACGAGCCATATCTTCAATGGTGTATGGTAAACGTTCCCCAAAGGCAAGTGTTTGGGGTAATAAAAGACGTGCGGAGATGACATTTCCACGTTCCTCAATCTTTGTAGAATGGCCAATATCGCGATTATCAAAGCGAATCACAAAGAAGCCGTGGCGTACTAACTCCTCACAGAAGGATTCATCCCAGGCGTACATTTGCATATTGAGACCACCAATTAAGAGAACCACCGGCAATTTATCATTTGGATCTCCAAAGCATTGATAGCAGAGTTCAATACGCATATTACTCGCCGTGCAGTGGCGAACAAAGGTGATGCGCTCATCCGAGCGTTTGATACTCATTCACCCCCCGTGTGTGTTTATATATATATATATATATGTGTGTATGTGTGTATTCACACAATTGTTCAAATACAAAAATAAATAAATAACAAAAACAAAAGAATTACGTATAACGATGTATATATATAGATTTCTTTTGCTTTTGTTTGACTTTTTTTTTCTTTTTCTTTTTCTTTTTCCTTTTACCGTTCTATCGCCTTGTCGTATTTATGTTTGTAGAAATATAATGAAGATTGTATTTAACTTAAAAGACCTTGTATACTGTGTATAAAGTAAATAAATAAATCAAATTTAAAAAAAAACTGCAATCTTACACACCAAGTAATCTCAAAAGTAGAGATATAAAGGTAGTGAAGGAAACTAGAAAGAAAAAAAGAAGAAAAAGAAAGAAATAAATCAAATAAATAGAACACATATCATTATATATATATAAATAAATAAATAAATATATATATATATATATATATATACTTTATCCTTTCTCAGTTAATTTGTTGGGTATCATTTCAGAATAAATAAAAGTAAAAAAAAAAAAAAAAAACTTTCATGGTTATTTCCCCCCTCAATCTCAAGAAAGTAACGAAGTACTAATAATAATAAAAAAAGAAAAAAGAAAAAAGAAAGAAAAAAAAAAGATGAGATAAGATGAGATGGGACGCATCCTTTACACTTTATCAACAGATCGTTGTGCGTTCCACACAATCTCCTGCACCATACTCGGTATCAATTCATCCGGTAGACTGTGGCCCATTAAAGGATAAAGAACCAATTTCGCGTTGTGTCCAATCAGGGAGGCAATTTGTATACTATTTTCATACGGAATAACTCTATCCATCATTCCATGTATGATTAGTGTTGGAGCCTTTACATTCTTTAATTCCTCTGCACGGCTTTTCGCACGTTGAATAGCTGCCATTTGTCGTCGAAATCCCATGATATCTTCTGGTGCCCGCAGGAGAAGTTCTCTGTAAAACTCTCTTTCCTTTTCAACCTTTGGTGTATAGAAAGGCCCAGCAAAGCGACACATAAATCGACATTTCAGATCCAATACATGTTCCATCTCTGAGCTCTCGGCTCTATCGGTAAACCACAACCGTGTGGACCAGCTTTCCTGAATCCGCTCAGACGATCCCGTGTGTGAAAAGATAATGGTCAGACTCCTCACCCGCTCTGGATAGCGAATCGCCATGATCTGCACCAGCATTCCCCCCATACTGCACCCCACCACGTGCGCCTCCTGAATGCCCAGTCCCGTTAAGAGATTCATCCCATCCGCGGCCATGTCCTCCAGTGTGTACGGCACCCGCTCGCCAAAGGAAAGGGCACTCGGCAACACCATCCGGAAGACATGCGGGGCGGGATGTTCCTTCAGTCGAGTGGAGAGGCCCACATCGCGATTGTCGTAGCGAATAACGTAAAAGCCGGCATCGGCAATGCGTTGGCAGAAGTGATCTCGCCATAATGCCCCCACGCCGTTGAGGCCCATCACTAAAAGAACACAGGGATCTTTGGGGTCTCCAAAGGTGTTGTAGCAGATGGATATCGTCTCCCCAGTGCTCGCACACTTCCCAACCTCCACAACCGTGTCAGGCGGAGAAGGCATATTTTGTTTGTTTTGTTTTGTTTTGTTTGTTTGTATTGATGTTTGACAAAGAAAGAAATAAAATAAACAGAAGAAATCTTCGCCGATAAAAAAAAAAAGAAAGAAGTAAAAGAGAAAAGAAGAGAAAAAAAATACTCTTCTTCTTTCATATGAAGGCAAAAAGACAAAAAAGGAGACATAGAAAGATATATATATAACTAATATAATATAATATTTGCGTGTGTACAGAATCACTTACTCGTAATGTAAACCTGATCAAAGTAAAGGGATCCAAGTTAACGCACATTCACGATCACTCAAGAAAAGAAAAAAAAAAATCATAGAGTCAGAATAATAATAATAATAATAATAATAATAATAATAATAATAATAAAAGATAATTTCATTGGTGTATAAATGTAAATGGGAAGAAAAATGGGATAAAATACAAACCCTTTCTTCACTACACAATTATTTCCACCGTGTCTAACGAGATCAAAAAAAACGAGGAATGTGTGTGTATGTGTGCAGAAGCATTGAAAATTTAAATATAAGAAAAGCAAAGATATGCAGAAACAATAGCAAAAACACATACACAAAGATATATACATAATATTGACGACAGTGATCAAAAGGAAGCAAAGGAGAGAAAAGGATTAAAAAAAAAAAAAAAAGAAAGAAACAGTCATTTCTAATTCCTTCTCTTTTCATCAGTATACAACCCACTCTCCCCACTACAAATATAAACAAAATAAGAGATACCATTTCTTTATCACTAATATTATTACTATTATCATTATTATTATTATTATTTCTAAAAAGAAAAGAAGATTACAGTTTTGATGTATTTTTCACCCCCATATTCCCTTCTCTTGATCGTTGCATATTCCCCATTAATGCCCCAACAAACTCTTCCCGCAATGCCGGATGTAAAACATGACCCAATCCCTCAAATGAAAAAAACTTCGCATGTGGGATAAGTTCCGCCAGTTCTTTTCCATTCTGGTAGGGCACTAATGGATCTATAGTCCCATGGAGTACAATGGTCGGTATTTGAATCTTCTGCAGATCCAACACGCGGCTGGGGGCATTTAATAAAGCCACGTATTGTCGCAATACACCGCTGAAGTCTGAACTCCGCCGTAATATTCGCCGCACTTGACGTTCGCAGGCCACACGGTTGATGGGATAACGTGAGGTGCGGCCGCCAGCGAAGCGTACAAGTAGAGAGACGAGTGTCTGTGTGAGTTCCTCCTCATCCCGTGGACGTCTACGTTGTAGTGATTCCTGTTGTTGTTGTTTTTCTTTTTGTTTTTGTTTTATTGTTTTTTCTCCTTCTTTTTCTTTTTCTTTTTCTTCGTGTTGTTGTTGTTGGGGGATATCGAATCCCATTTGAGTGACATAATGAGCGGCGCTGGCGATAGCGAAGACATCCCGCAGTGATGGCCATCGTGCGTGTGTGGAGCTGCTGTGTGTAGAGAAGAGTGCGAGACTCCTCACACGAGTGGGGTGTTGAATGGCGATCCTTTGGGCAATCATTCCACCCATACACATTCCCACAATGTGAGCCTGCGGGATGTGAAGCGCATTTAAGAGACCCACACAGTCATTTGACATATCATCTAATGTGTAGACATCGCGAAAGAAGTGATGTCGGCCTTGCATGATACTTGCATAAGCCAATTGGGCGTGAAAGGTGGAGAATCCACTGAACTTATGAAACCATGATCGAGGCGGTGTTGATGATAATAAAGATGATGATGATGAGGATGATGAAGGAGATACATTAGATTCCCATTCTTCCACGATATCATTCATAGTATTATTATTATTATTATTATTATTATTATTCCCTCTTATTCCAGCAGAAGAAGTAGAAGTAGAGGAAGAAGGAATGACTGGATGGCCAGTGAGAAATGTACTCCGTCCAATATCACGATTATCAAATCGAATCACATATAATCCACGAGCTGCCAACGCCGTGCAGAAGTGTCCATCCCACAAGAGTGAAGGAGAGGCAAGACCCATAATGAGAAGCACAACACCATTAGCGGCATTTCGATCTCCAAAGGTTTGATAACAAAGTCTAATAGAAACTCCAGTACTTGCACATACACCAACATCCGCAAACTTCTCATCATTGCGGGAAGAAGAAGAAGAACAAGAAAATGAAGAAGAAGAAGAATAACGGTTTGGGGAAACCGTGTTTGTATCGTGTGAGATAAGAGATTTATTTCTAGGGTGAAGCGTTATTGGACTCTGCGGGTTGTTTTCTTGGGATCCTTGCTGATACTCCACATCTCCCGATTTCATTTTTTTTGAGTTCAGTAGAAAAAAAAACTAAAAAGATCAAAAATGAGAGTAAAAAAGTAAAAAAAAAAA